ATAAGGAGTCTGCAATAGGCCGGTTGGCCTGTGCATGGCAGCTCTTGTCGAGAGTTACTACCACTCTCTATCATCCATGAATCTATCCAGCCTCCCTTGGAAACTTTCCAGCGTTCCAGCACTTACTACAAGGTTGCTAAGCTTGTTCCACTCGTCCACCACCCTATTTGTAAACCAGTTCCTTCCTATCTCCCTCATAAATCTAAACTTATCCAACTTCAATCCGTTGTTCCGAGTCCTATCCTGCTCGGATATTATAAGAACTTTATCTATATCACCTATATTGATTCCTTTCACCCACTTGCATACTTCTATCATATCTCCCCGCACTCTTCGTCTTTCTAGGGAATGCAAGTTTAGTTTCTTTAACCTATCCTGATATGGAAGGTTTCTAAGTCCCGGAATCATTTTCGTAATTCTTCGCTGCACCGACTCTAGTGAATTGATATCCATTCTATAATAGGGGCACCAGAACTGAACCGCATAATCGAGGTGCGGCCTGACTAGCGCAAGATATAGTTGCAGTAAGACCTCTGCACTCTTATTACTTACACTTCTAGATATAAAACCCAATACTCTGTTTGCCTTATTTCGAACATTAACGCACTGTTTTCTAGGCCGTAGGTCCGGGCTTACAAGTACCCCTAGGTCTCTTTCACAAGTCGACTTCTCTAGGTTGATGTTGTTAAGGCTGTATACATTGACAGTATTTGTTCTTCCAATAGTAAGTACGCTGCACTTGCTGGTGTTGAATTTCATTTGCCATTTTTCAGACCACCCCTGCAGCTTATTTAGATCCTCCTGTAATGCATTTGCATCCTGCTCTGAATTAATCTGCCGCCCTATTTTGGTGTCATCCGCAAACTTGCTTATGTCACTGCTGATCCCAGTATCTAGATCGTTTATGTAGATTATGAACAAGAGTGGGCCTAGTACTGACCCCTGGGGAACCCAACTGGTTACACGACCCCACTCAGATTTAACACCATCTACGCTGACCCTCTGCGTTCTATCGGTGAGCCATGATTTTATCCAATTTAAAACTTTCCCCTCGATACCATGAGCCTTAATTTTTCTCAGAAGCCTCTGATGCGGTACTCTGTCAAATGCTTTGCTAAAGTCTGAGTAAATAACATCGTAATTTTCGTCATTATCTACTACCTCGAAGACTTTCCTAAAAAATGTCGGCAGATTTGTTAGACAAGATTTTCCCTTTGTAAACCCATGTTGAGAGTCGTAGATTAATTTGCTTTTCTCTAAATGCGATCGGATGTTATCTGCTATAATTGATTCAAGAAATTTCCCCACTACTGACATCAAACTGATCGGCCGGTAATTTGATGCTGATGCTCTGTCTCCCTTTTTGAATATGGGTACTACATTTGCCTGTTTCCACAAGTCTGGCACAACTCCGGTGTCTAATGATTTTGTAAATAAGTTTACAAGGGGTCCGCTAATCTGTTCCCTACACTCTTTCAAGACTCGAGGGAAAATTTCATCCGGCCCTGGGGATTTTGTCTTCTTTAGTTTATTTATCTTCTTAAGAACATTCTCTTTTCTGATAGTGATATTCTTTAATTTCTCTTTTTCTTTTCCCTTAAATATCAGTTCCACCTCTGGAATTTCATCTCGAATTTCTTCTGTGAAAACTGATAAGAAGTAGCTGTTCAATGCTTTGCTTATTTCTTCACTGCCATTTATCACTTCTCCCCTCCCTGACTTTAAAGGCCCAACTTTGTCCTTGACCTTTGTTCTATATACCTGGAAAAATCCCTTGGGATTCGCCTTGGATTCTCTTGCTATTTTGATTTCATAGTCTCTCTTTGCTTTCCTTACATTTTTCTTAACATTCCTAGATAGTTCATTATACCTGTTTCTGAGCTGCTCCTCCCCTCCCTTTAATTTCTTATATATTCCTTTCTTTATTCCTATGTCATGTTTAAGTTTTCTGGTCATCCACCTTGGCTCATTCTTATTTGACCTAATCTTTCTGTATGGTATATTTTGTTCTTGTGCTTCATGTAGTATACTTGTGAATATATTATAGTCATGATCAATTGTTGTGTCATCTATGACCTCACCCCTTCCTACTGGTGACTGACGTGACTGTTCCCAAGTGACCTCACCTAGGTACCTTCTTAACCCCTGATAATCCGCCAACTGAAAGTTTGGGACTCTGACTATATTGTCATTTTTTTTCGTTTCCCAATTTAGGGTGAACCTGATTTCTCTGTGATCACTGTTACCTAGTTCTGCCCCTACTGTGATATCTCTGATAATATTTTCTTTATTTGTTAATACTAGGTCTAATATATTGTCACCTCTAGTAGGTTCTGTAATTAGTTGCTTCAAAAAATTGTCCTGTACTGCGTCTAGGAAGTCTTCAGATTCATAGTCACCTACAATGTTGTCCCAGTCAATATTTCTGAAGTTATATTTTGCTGCCCTACTCATTTCCTGCCATATGGGCTGAGCTGCTTCCTTCCCAAGACTTGGAGGCCTGTCAATCACTCCCATAATTAGTTTTTCTCTTCCTTCCGTGATTTCTACCCATACAGACTCGGTTCCTATTTCACCCTTTATTGAATTATTAATACAACATTTTAATGTATCCTTGACGAAGAGTGCGACCCCTCCCCCCTTCCTACCTCCCCTATCCTTGTGAAAAAGGTTGTACCCTTCTATGTGGTACTCTGATAAAAAAATTTTGCTCGCCAGATTCATCCAAGTTTCGGTGATTGCTATGACTTCTACATTCTCGGTTCATACAACCGCTCTCAGCAAGTCTATTTTATTTCGAACGCTCCTACTGTTTGTATAGTATACATTTAAACCTACCCTACCCTGGTCCTGTTTTACCCCTTGTCCTGAGTAACCAATTTTACTTCCCAGGACCAGCTTGTTTTTTGACTCCCACTTACCCTGACTTCTCTCTACTGGCGAAACTCCCCCTTTGGAGTAACAATTTCACGCTCCAGGGATGCAGACAACGTCTTTACCCCCGCACGAGACAAGTGTACTCCGTCACGACTGTACAGGTAGTCGTTGCCATAGAATCGTTGCCAGTTATCAATGAATGCCCAACCATTGTTTGCACAATGTTTTTCCAGTCGGCAATTTATAGCAATTGCCCTGGACAGCCATTCACGACCAACCCCTCTTCTAGGCAAGACACCACATACTATCAGGATCCCTCCCCTATCTCTAATCTTCCCCAGCGCCTCCCTGTACCTCTTGAAAAGTTCCTCACTCCTAACCTTACCTATGTCGTTTCCTCCCACACTAAGACACACTACTGGATTGGTACCCTCCCCTGACAAAACCCTATCTATCCTCTCAGCTACGTGCCCTATCTCCTTATATGAGTCAGTTAGGAGTGATTTCACGTCACATGAGGAGAATATATATTGAATGAGACTAAGAGACAAGAAGAAGTTGGTGATCTGCCACAGTTACGAAAGATAATTATGGGAGGCGCGACGTTTGGGGGGGGGGATGCGTGTATTCCTCCTCCGCTCCGCTCCCTTCCTGATCCTCTCTCCTCCTCCTCCACTTATCTTCCTCATCCTCTCGCCTCCTCCACTTACCTTCCTCATCCTCTCTCCTCCACCTACCTCCCCATCATCCTCCCCCAACTCCCTCCTCCCCCCCTCCTGTATCCTATCCGGTCTCCCCCACCTTAACTTAACCCCCTCCCATCCTACCGACGTGACAAGCACACACAACCACATCCAGTCAAGACCTCCACCGCATTCCTATTACTCTTTCCAAGACGAACTATAGAACAATAGTCTTTTATATTCTACGGTTAGTAAGTCAAGCTGTTCCCCTCCTAACTAGTGTAATGCAGATGTTAGTGTCCAGTGATGCCATCTTAGAAACTCTGAACTTGAATTTGTAGAGAAAAAAGAATAGCTCCATAAACACGCTATAAACATCTTTATACACACACACACACACACACACACACACACACACCGACCTGTTGAAGCACCCTACTAACCCATTTGGCATCGAAAGAGGGGCAGAATCTGACTATCAATGAGGCTTGCACGAATTACCGCCCTCACTGATCAACAGGTCCGTACGCGCGGTCTCCTTAATCTCATATTTTTCCTCATATGATGTGACAACACTCCTGACCGACTCATATAAGTTAAATCAACAGTATGATGTTATAAATGTGCTAATGTGCTTCAATCATTTGGTCTTGTATTCTTTAGACATTGCTTTTACCCACTCTTACAGTATATCGACAAAACTCTTAACTAAATCCTCAGCCCAAAGTAGTATGTAACAGACACATTCAGTACACAGAACACCTTAGTTTTCCCATGGGAACAAGCTTAAGAAACTCATTACTGAATTCTACCCACAAATTTCACCTAGAATGACAATTAGCACCAAAGACTCATTTAAAATCCTTTTGAACATAATATTTCATACTCCCACACACCTACAATCATCAGCAGTTTACAATTTTACGTGTGCTAGCTGTAGGGCAGGTCGTACAGGTCAATTTATCACCAAGCCACCTCACTCAGCTATCCGTAACCACGCCCACCAACATGGCCACCCGTTTGCATGCGCGGACTTTCCAGATACAACAGTGGAAAATTAACTGGTCCATCTGATGACCCTGGTATTTGTCTCACAGTACATGCGCATGAAAATGGTGTTCTATTATGTAACGTACCAGATGTGTCAGTTCTTACAAGCCATTTCATCTTCTGTGTTAAATGTGACAGACTATGTGCGTCTGTTCTCTTGTTTTATTTATATTATGTTTCTTCTGCTTCTCATCTTTTTTAGCCTTAACCCGATTTATATACCTATTTTCCGTGTGTTCTCGGTAGTCTCAGATACACCCCTACCACCCCCTCCTCCAGACGGTTTCTATCACGACTGCTTCTTGGTTATCATCTTGTTAACTAGCTGGTCAGACTACTAATTCATTCACAACAATAATAATAATAATAATAATAAAGACATTAGCTCACCTTGCTCTTGTTGTTGAGATGAGGGTGGTTGGCGCCGGGTGGTGGTGGTGTCAGCGGTTGTAGCGAGACCCAGGGACTGAGGCCGGGCCCTGTGTCGCCGGGGCGAGGGAGGCGCCGCTGTCAGCCACTCCCACCACAACACCGAGAGGACGGGAGATTTCAACACCATCCGAACAGTTTTTATTTGTTTGTAAAACTCTCTTTTTACCCGTTTCTGGTCAATGAAATTATTTCTAGATACATAATGTTATTAAAGAGTTGACAAAATGTACCTAAAAATCAGTCAGTGCACAAAACTACGGATTAATAGTTAATTGTAAATCAAAGCAAAATCCCTCCCCCCCTCCTACTGTTACATTATCTGAAAAGAGTGACTTGCCTTTCCTGGAATTAATGGAGCGTAAGGTGATGATCTCATCGGAAGTGTATTCTTGCTACACGTTCGTCCGACCTTTAAGAAGCATGTTTTGTAGAGCATAAACATCAGTCCGCCACCACTACCCACGCTGGCTTCTTCACCAGTGACTCATCATTCACTCAACCTTCCACTTTCCATTGTTTTTTTTTTTCATGGGTTGACTCATAAATCAAACTTTTCAGAGAGAATAAGACACCCTATACAGAATTTGTGTGTAATGTACGATCAAGGTTGGATTTTGTCTAAATTTTCACCTTTCCAATGGTGATTGGAGGTTAGCAATCAGTTAAGCACAATTTGTTAAACTATTATCCTCTAGGAGAAAATCCGAATAACAATTAATACAATTATTAATAAATTGCTTGCACTATTTCGTTTTAGTAACTTTTAGATACTAAATACAGAATGAACCATGCGGCGGTCGACAAAGTTAAGAAGAAAACCCAGAAATTCAAGGGGTGGGTTGGGTTAAACGATGAGCAGGACAAGAGGATGTATGCAAGAACCAGGAACCAAGTAAAGTCAGGTGTAAAAGGGTTGAAAGGGAGTTCCAGAGGCTGGTTGCAAGCGAGGTCAAGTCAAACCCGAAGGCGTTTTACCGCTATGCAAAGTCGAAATTAAGAACTCGAGTAGGAGTTATCAGACCTGAGGCTTGAAGATGGTAGTTACTCAGATTTTGACCAGGACAAAGCTGAGGCATTGAACAGCTTCTTTTCCTCGTTTGTGTTCACAAGAGGATGGATTAACCTACCTGCGTTTGAGGACAGACGGTTCGACACAGCACTGACCCACATTGTGTTCACAGAAGAGGTTATAAGAAATAAACTGCTAAAGCTAAAGGTTCATAAGAGTCCCGGTCCTGACATAGTGCATCACAGAGTGCTAAGAGAGTTGTGCAACGAGCTTGCCGAGCCCCTGAAAATCCTGTTCTGTAAATGCCTGGGTGAACAAAAGTCAGGGCCGGGACTCTTATAAACCTTTCTTATAAGAACACAATGTGGGTCATTACTGTCAAACCACCTGTCCTCAAACATAGGAAGATTCTCATCCTCTCTAGTGAACACCGAGGAAAAACTCTGTTCAACGCCTCCGCCTTGTCCTGGTCATAATCTGCGTAACTACCATCTTCAAGCCTCAGGTCCAATATGCCTACTCGCGTTTTTAATTTTGACTTTGTATAGTGGTAATACGCCTTTAGGTTTGACATGACCTCGCTCTCACTCCACCTCTGGAACTCTTTTTCAACCCTTCTACATTCTTGGCTTTGCTTGGTTCCTGAATCTGGCATACATCCTCCTGTCCTGTTCATCGTTTGACCTAACCCACGTCTAGAATTTCTGAGTTTTCTTCTTAACTTTGTCGACTGCCGCACAGTTTATGAGTAACAGTCTCCTTGTATTTCTGGAGGCAATGTTCTTTGGTATATATGTTCTTTGGTATATATTTATCAATCAAATGGTTCACTTTACTGGCTACGATATTCAGCGGAGTATCTGCATTCTTATACCGGTATCTTTGTGAGTCAGGCCAGTGAATACCTTTCATGCTGTTGTAATTACCCTTGTAGTATTTGAACCTTGGCTTGGTTTTGTCATGAACCAAGTAACAATTAAATCTGAAGGACAACGTTGCGCTGTGACTGGTACCAACAAGGGCTAAGTGTTCCAGCCTGGCCGCCATACCCTCCACGTTAGATGTGATGAGGTCCAGCGATTTGGATGTTTGCTCCGCTCTGTAATGAGTCGGATCTTTAACATGTTGGAATAGAAAAATGTCTCAGTTAAGTCCCCCCCCCCCATGACAAAGGGGTGGCTAGGGTTGAGCGCCATTGCGTTGTCAATTAAGGCTCTTTAAGTTCCTTTGGTTTAATAAGATACAGTTTGGAGATTTGTAGATACATCCAACAATGAGTAAGTATCTCCCCGTTAGTTTAATTTTACAGCACTTTGATTCTTCAAAAACATCCTCCCCTTTACTTGGCTGGCTCTAAGGTCTTGCCTAGCATAGATAATTCACACCCCTCTTGCAAGTTGCTGGCGAAAGGTTCGTAAATGAGTCCTATCCGTGTATATTGAACTAGTGATGCAAGACAAACTTTTTATTTTATGAATTTTTACAGGACAAAGCAGTATCTGTAATGTATCATTTCGAGTACCATATTCTATGATAAATCTTTTAGACAAAATATAGATGGTTTCAGAGATAGTAAGCTATGTACCACCAGGTCTGTTTGAGTCACTTCTAACCAGTACTGTATACATCACAGTCTATGGTATATGCCTGTATACAACTACCCTGTACAGTACTTTTTAAGCCATACAAAAGAATGTCTCATTTTAAATATCAAGTTCTGGATCGTAAAAATAGTAAAATATGCACCACTCAGCCTCTTTAGGTCATTTGTGACCCATATTACAGTATTTGATATCTGCTTTATGCCAGTTGTAGTGTAATTATGCCTGTATGACTACTACTTTTATGTACACCCAAGTTATATTACTAGGAATCAAATCTTAGGTGTACAAAATTAGAACTATATACGAACTGTACTTTGTATGGCTCAGAATTGTCAGCAAATTTGGGTCACGGGAAATTTTATCATAGAAAACGGGAAATTTATAAAAAAAATTCGAGCATATTCGACATTGAAATCGGGAAATTTTTATCATAGAAAACGGGAAATGTTATCATAGAAAACGGGAAATGTAAAAAACAAAAGGGAAACGTTAATTTTTATTATGCATTTTCAAAAAAATTCTCTGTACTTCACTATTTCAACCTTATGGTTCCTCTCTACTGTACCAAATATAAATCAAACATGTCCCATTGTATATATTTTATTCCATGGCTGGTCAAGTGGACACCAGTCCTAGGAGACCCCAACTTAACCTTTAATATTAGTGCTATGTCCTAAGGAGTCCCAGTCCCAGTATGGGGCCCATGTGACCTGCAGCCCTTAATTCCCCCACAAGGAAACATGTGATTGCCTTATAAGATAATACTGTCATAAGATACACACACAGTGGAGAAGAGTGTGGAGGTGATTAAATGGTGCTAGATATCTGTTAACATGCAGATAATACTGTACTTAAACTGAATAATACTGAATGCTAGTGCAAATATAATGAGAATATACTGAATGCCCATGTACTATCGTGGACAAAAGTTCGCTCCCTGTAGTGAAACTGAGACACGGGAATGAGTCTCCGAACTGACTTACCCTGATTGTTATCTGGTGCGGGTGTGCTGTGCGGGTCGATACTGCTTCAGTTTGGGAAGGAGCGAACTTTTGTCCACGATAGTTCAACAAAAAAAACTGAAAACTAATATACAGTAAACAAAATTGGATAATATTGTACACCAATATACAATATACACTATACAGAAGTTAATATTGAATGTTAGTGTATAAACAATTGGAAATGCTGAACAAGAGTGTATAACAAAAAGTAGATACAGTAATACTGTATTGATATCAAGTGAATTCAAAAGTAGAATTAAGAAATTGATAATAATGAATGTTAAAGAACATAGAAATGGATAATATTGAATCCATGTATACAGTACAGTAAACATGATAAATTATACCGACTGATGTAGGCTAATACTAAACACTCATGAAAAGGGAAGCGGAGGTCACGTATGATCAAGGAAAGACTCCACCGTGTGCAATATCACCTTCAGGAAGCACGATGGAATATACAAGGTTTTCTCGAACTTTAATTAACTGGTTATGTCAGAAGTAGAAAAAAAAGCTAGCTTCATATATAAGTTTATTTTGAGTACTGTACATTATAATTAAGAACTACCATACTTTTACACAAAAACCTTGTACTTTCCCTACCAACCAGTCCAGTATTATCTAATTTAACCTTAGGACAGGCGAGTACACATAATATATACACAATAGGTTAATATAATAAAACACTTTTTCATTGTAATATCTTCTCAAATTAGAGTACATTAAATATTCAAACACATACCATCACTTCAATTAATATATGCATAATGATCTCACATAAACTTCATGACAAATGGTATCAAAATTACATGTATTCTTCATGAAAAGTCAATGAAAATATTCATATCTACGATGAGTGTGACAGACTGCGACGCTAGGTATCTCGGTAATAATGAAAAGTTATTACAAACAAAATAATGAAACATGATAACACATGATTTACTAGGAGGCTAATGTCTTAGGCAAATGAAAAAGCAACAAAGGAACTAGGAACTATGAAAGTAATGTAGAGAAATTACATATCTGAAGATTACACGAATAAATATTTCTAGTAATAGCACTCACAATATAATACAATTAATGCATCTACCATATAACCCTTTTATATTCTAATAAGTTAACCAAGTTTCATTTAAAAACTTCAATATTTTCTATTTCATTCTGTAAGTGTGAGAAATTCTTTTAAGTATGAGAGTTCTTCCAGATATGGGCTGACCTAACTACAACAGATGCATATATCTTCCCCTATAGGCACAGGATGGACACATATCTCAATAGAAAATAAAGAGAAAAAGAAATGTGGAAATGCATGCTTGATCTAAGATGCTGCTGTAGGAACTGTAGCACATCACCTCATGCCACCATACCATCCTGACAATATTGTACACCTGAGTCACCATCAGGGTTTGAATTGGGAAGTACCGTAGTTACTATATCAAAAGTTTCATTCTGCACAGGGAATAAACAATATTTATATTTAAGAACCAATACTGTGGCCTCATGATATAAGACATGTCCACAAAACTAAAGCCCTTCAAAAAATTACTTGTGCTGAGAAAGGATTACGAAATTTAGGAAAAGAAAAACTTTGTGATCAACAATTTGGCAATGAAAGACAGATTCCAAACCAGGTTGAAATTTGAAGATCTTACAAAATGCATAAAATCATAAAAACAAATAATATTAAGAAAAATACAGAAAACCATTGATGGTGCAAAGTTGTTGAATTTAAGATTAGGACCTTTTCAATTACAAGTATGGTGTCTACTTATTGTCAATAATGCAATACAGTAATTGATTACGAGGGAGCAGAGCAAGCTAAAGATACCCAGGAAAAGGTAGCTTTATGCATATAGTACATGTACTTCATTCCCTTTAAAAGAATCAACATCTCAAATTCAAGGCTAAATACAATGCAAATCCCCAGGTGTTTAAATCTTAAATTGTCTGCTTTAAGAACAATGTCTATGATATAATGTCATTACTATTACCCTTGTTCCAAATTATCCAGTGGGATGACATAAGTCTGACTGAACCTGTCATACTGTCAAGTCACTGGATGGTTTTGCATCATGATAATACACACACTTCCATATACTGTACTTTTCATTTCATTTCTAATGAGATATATATTTAGTGGCATAATCAATAGGCATCTGTGATAGTTAGATCCAACTATGAGGGAGAAAGTATTATCAAAACAATGTCAGTGAAGACTATCCTGATTTAATATCATTTTAATTCATATATAAAAAGTCTGAAATATTAGTAGCAAAGATGGATTCTATACATCATTTTACAAATGTAACACTTTGATAGAAGCTTATGACTAATAAAGCATCATTACAATATTAATTAAAATTTCTACCCGATACATACAGTACTTCCAAATTGGTTAAAACAATAAACAGCTGCAGCCAATCAAATTCTGGCTTAAACACTATAGTGTACAGTATATATCTTAAGCATAAAACAAAAGTACTGTTCCAACAAATGCTTTTAATACTACACCACAGATGAAGGCGATAACCCACATAAAAATGTACAGATGCAAACAGTATACACCTAGTGCTCATTAATTTATATAAAAAATTATATATTACAGGACTCAAACACACAATCACTGAATACTGAAAGTGTATATTTGGTTGGTTAGTAACAGCTGCAGTAATAATTGTCTTTTGGATCTAATATGTTACAGTTCATAAAACCAAGGCTATAGATATGGTCAAGATGTGTACCAGTAAAAAATATATACCATACTATTATAATAACTGTATGAAGTATATCTGCATAAGAATAATAAAAAAAAATGCTGTGTAATTGATATACAAAGAATTCTCTGATTAAACTGTACATTTCAACTGACAATCTTATTTGTGTCATACAGTATTGCACAGTATATACACAAAAAGATTATACTGTACAGTATTAGTAAGTGTAAAATGCTGATCAATTCAAAGTGTGTGAACATTAACAAAAATACATATAGATAAAGTATAAAAAAACAGTAAAACAAGTAACAATGATAATAATAATAATCATCAATTAATTTGGATAAACAAATTTATGTGAAAACATTGCAAATTGTGGCAACTTCAATATCGTCTTCTTTTCCTATCATCTCCTTCTCGAGAAGATTCCCGTCGTGCCCATCTGCCACCTAACCCGGAGGAGTTGCCTCCACGAACTTCATATTCATAACTGGAAGCACGATATTGCCAGTCCCTCTCCTCCAAATCTTGGCTACTCCCATACTTCTCCAGCCAATCACGGTAACGGTACCACCACTGCTCCCATTTCAGGTAATCATCGAGAGTAATAGATCTATCTCCAAAATATCCAGATTCCTTATAGTATCGATATCTAACGTGCACATCATCCCAGTTTTGTGGTAATTCCCGAGGAAGGTCGCGATGAGGGTCCCACTGTCTTATCTCTCCATATCGTTCCTGATATTCTCTGTACTCAGCCTGGTGCTCTTGCAGCCACCTTTCATGAGCTGGGTGATTAGCCCGGCTTCTGCCACCCGGGGAGGGTGATCTAGACTGAAGTCTTCCTGCCTCAAGGTAAACTTTCTTATCCTGTCCACCCTCTCTCACTATCTTCATTCTCACTCCCTCATATTCTTGTCTCTGTGAACTAAGCTGAGCAAGTTTACCAAATCTCTCAGACAGTGTCATACGTCGAGGCCCATCTTCTTCATCAGATGATGAATCCGAGTCTGTGTCTTCCCCTTCTGATCTTGGTGATTCTCTTGGTGGAGGTGGAGGCTGATGATAATCTGGATGGTCAGGTGGGACAACTTTATAATGGTGGGGATCTAATAAATGACGGCCTTCTGTGGTGCTACGTGGGGGAGTGCCAGGACCCCTATACACTGCTGGTTCTTCTACACCAACTTCATTATTATCATCATAGTAATTACTTGTTGTGGGGGGAACAGCAGGACGTGGCCTTTTTCGAACAGTCGGCTCCCCCTCTTTAACTTTCACCTTGTTTTTCAACTTTGGTATTTTTGTAACAGTATTTCTGGACTTTATTACCACATTACTGACTGTCTTGGTTACAAGTTTCTTAGTAGTCTCCTGGTGTGTAACTTGCTTCATGCGTACTTGTGACGATGGATTTGGTGGTGGTGGTTGCCTTCTACTAATCCTTCCACGCCGTGGGGAACCAGAATACGATCTTGGCCTTCGGGGTGCTGCTGGTGTATATGAACGTCTCCTCCTAGACCCAGATGAGCTGGAGGAGGAACTAGTGAAGGACGATGAGGAAGAGCCTGAAGATGATCGAGAGTACGAAGAATAACTTCTGGAGTATGAGGAGCCACTACTGCTGGAAGACGACCTTGAATAGCTGCTAGAATATGTCCTCTTGTGAACACGACCACGGTTAGGAGACCGTGACTCACAAGACTTTTTCCCCCTTACAATTGGCTTAGGAGAGCGCCTTGGAGACCGTCTTGGTGACCGTGGCGAAACTCTTTGTGTTGACCTTGGAGGAGAACGTCTGGGAGACCTTCTGGGGGAGTGTGCTGATCCACTTCTTGTTCTACAAAAACAGAAAAAAAAAGAAAAAAGGTAAGAAAGTGAAAAACAATTCAACAAAATATGAGACTTCATCTCAAAGTACACATCATACACGCATGCACATTAAAAACAAAGACAAAACAAAGACACAGTGACCTAGCATGAAGAAGCCAGAAGCATAGCACATACAGTGTGAAGGAAGTAGTAAAGGAATGAATCCACTCTTTGCATACAGCTGACAATTTCTGCAAAACTTCAAGCTCCTTGGTGCAACAAAATTACACATTTTGGTGTAGCAACATAAAACTTATCTTAATTTAACCTAATGTGTATATTAAATTGGTCTATTCATACCCCCCTCTACATCACAATATAAAGTTTCACCTTCAAATTACAACAACAATTTAAATTCCATATACTGTACTGATCTTTCTAGCACTTTATTCATCCAATTTAATTTCCTTATTCTCCCATCTCTCTGCCAGCATTCTACCATTCACAGTCATAACAAAGTTCCTCAGTTCATACATTAGTGTGGATTACACTGTTCTCTCCAGCATATCTCTCTAAACCAGATGGTTCAGGTTTTTTGTTCTTTATAGCCTTTTCAATTTTCGATCCATCATCCTTAATGAGTATACAATCTGAATATAGTACAGGTATGAGACCGCTTATCTGGTATCCAGAACACTCTAAAAACCACTTATGCTCTGGAACGAATTATATAAAACGAGTGCCAAGTAATTCCCCACCTGCCAGCTGTATGTTATGTTATTTTCAGCTCGTAATTTCAGGTAGATAATATATGTAATTGTCTTCACATTTTTTATTTTTTTTTTACTCAAGTTACATACACACAATCCTACTTACAGAAAGTGCAAAGAAAAGAAAATTAATCATAAAAAATATCATAAGGTACAGATTTAAGTATTTACAGGTTTCCACCGTGAAGCTGCGTGGTGAGTGTGTGGAGGTCAGAGGGTCTGCGGTGCAGTGCACCACTGCTCGCAAAGTCAGCCAAGCAGCTTCCCCAGTTTGGCTGGTTGCTAAGGGAAGTGTCGAGGGGGCCAGAGTCCCAAAGATTGTGGCACAGTGTGTACACTATCTTGCATAATATTTGCTCTTTTTATGCTTTCATTATTTTACGTTTTAATCTTACAATGTACAGTACAGTTAAAGCTAATTTTAGGGGTGATTCTAATGATCTGAACAGATACTGCACTGCCAATTACAGTGGGTTTACTGTTCATTTTAGGCCTGGCACTCAAAATTACAGTAAAAACCCTATCCGGTAACCCCCAGGTCCCAAGCATGCCGTATAAATGGGCCCATACCTGTACTGGGACCTCCCCAACAGTTACCTATTTATGTTTATATTTTGATAACCCTCTCTCGAACACCTTGTTCTTATGTGCCAATATTTTTTTTAACCAAGTAATTTTTTCCCCCATTGTCCTACTACAGGGTACTTGCTTCATTTGCACAGAGCACCGCCCTCATTTAAATTCCTGTTATTACCCCACCAGATTTTTCCTACACGACAGGAAACCGAAGCATAAACTACACTAATCGTCCAGTCACATTTCCAAAGTTTCTTCAATCAAACCATCTTATGCATATACAGTACTGTACTGTATTCTCCTTAAAAAATCAAAATCAACTTGCATGACAATACACTATACCATGTTAACACACATCCATCATTTTAACATGTTGCTAAATTGTCTAACCTCTTTTATTCCTTTGAATCTTTTCATACTCACAACCCTCAAATATATCCTAGTCCTCTTTTTTTTTATTTTACTTCACTATAACAACACATTTCTAATTTTTAACACCTCCTTTTCTAATGCCTTACAAGTGTGTATTACATACAAATTCTTTCTGGTCATGAACTACTGCCTTCAAACACTGCTGCTCTGCCTTGTTGTTGTTTCCTTGGTCTCCCTGTTACTGTTCTTGCCATTGCAAGTTATCTCACAATTCTACTGACTTTGGTTTTCTCCATACATACCTTGCACTTCTCTGGCAATGACTTACAAACAATTTAGTTACTTTCTTTCCTGGATTTCCTTTACTATCATGTTATTCCCTCATTCATATTAAATTAATTATTTGTGATCCCCTCTTCTAACTTAAAATGCCTCTCAAGATATAGGTTTCACCTACCAGCACTCTGAAGGCTATTATGTATTCTTAGACCTGAATTACACATTATGTCTAGTATGTCAAGTCCCTTCCTTCATTTAAAACCATGGCACATGCAGAATCTTCTTAATGAAAACCCATAGCAACTGCTTTATAAATACAGTACTGTATATAGTGAATACCGTATAACCTTGTGTGCAGAATTCTTCAATAAAATATTTGACATTACATTATTGGCAGGAGCTGATCTACATTGTGCTCTGAAGATGGTTGTTTCTGATGTATGTGGCCAAGATTATGAATGTGACACGATAATACATGCTAGTAAGACTTTGTACATTATTAACTACAGGTAAAAAATATCCATACAGTATACTCATTAAAACTGAATTTCCTAATGGAACAAATTTTGGCACTACAGACAAATTTTCACTACATAACACATGTAATCAGTACCAACAAAGAATACACAAAAGGAATGATAAAAATAAGATGCAAGTTGTCAGTCAGAAAGAAATTTGGTTATTATGCTTAAGGATCTGGTCTACTAAACTGAAAAAAAATATAAACTCAGGGGTCAACAAATACAGACAGAGATAATGGGTGAAGGGTAAGATATGAAGAGGATACCAGGTACCAAACCGAAAGATCCAAGAGATGGAGTCTACTTCCAATGTGTAACAGCCGACCATCATAAGGCAGAAGACGCAAGGACTCTGCATCAGCAAATAAACAGAGCTTATACAAGACCTTATCCCTCTGTTCCTCAGCCAGGCCCTAAGCCTTTAATTATAATTCTCATCCTACCTCCGCCGTGGGTCTTGTGGGGATCTGGGGCGGGAGGGGGAGGCAGCCTTGCGAGGAACAATGCCAGATGGATCCCGCGGGTCACGTGGGCGAGATGAGGCCCGACTCTCTCTTTCCTTTTCATCTGCACTTCCCTCCCCAATGTCACTATATCCTAGCTCATCTCTGTATAACTCCTTGAATCCAGTGTGTGCCCACCTGTTGCCAAAGTAACAAAAAGAAAAAAAAAAGTTTAATATGCAGCCTTTCCTACAACAATGAGTAACAATTCATGAATATAACAATATAAATTTTGTATCAATGAATTAAACCCCATGTATTCCTTACCTGTTTGGCTGAGTAGCTTCAGCATCCAGCAACTTCTTGGTCCAGAACGTATCCTTTGTTCGGGTCGATGCCTCTCGCCTTGCACGAACAACAACTTGTTCCATGGGACCTCTCTCTCCTGCTGAACCAGAGCCACGAACTTCTTTCATTAACTAACATATCTTGGCTCCTAAGTTACACCACCGAATTTTCTGACTCATAAACACATTCAACTAATTTGCTTGAAAATAAGGACTATTTTTGCACTGTTAATCTTACACCAAAAGAACAAAATAAAAGCTCATGTTATCTAAACAAGTAACAACTTTCATTATTTTGCCACAAATGCAATACAGTCAGAAGTCTCTAAAACATTATTTAGACAAACATTCCTATCAATTAAAGAATGAGGAATCAGAAGAACATGTACAGTATACAGATTATACAAAGTTAAAGGAGCATTGGGTAGTGTTGCTATTAATAATAAAAGCAAAAATGGTTTAAAAAAAAGGGAGGGGGAAGAAGAGGAAGTTCTCAATAAAGGTGGAAATATCTTCTACTGCACTACACCTAATTCTCAGAAAATATTAACTTCTGAAATAGTCTGAGATCCTTTTGAGATGGATATGCCAAGTTATGTGAAGTAACAGATATGAAACAAGTAGATTTATCTTGGGGTCTTGTTGTGACAGGGGAACACCACTGCAGAACAAATCTGTTACAACACTAAGAGTGAATGAATGAGAGTGAGTGAAGAGAAAATCAGTTTGCTCTTGATCCCAGCCACCCTGCAATATAAATACCAAGTTCAACTGAAAACCACTGCTGTTTGTTTGATTATCACATTGAAAACTCCCAAACACACATTCTTAAGTCCTTTCCCAGAACAGAAGTACTGTACAGTATACAATGTGATTACAACTAAAATTAGAGTAACAATTGAAATTTAATCAAACCAAGAGAAAACCAAGAAAATTCTCCAACTTTTAAAGAACATATACTGTAATTTATGAAAAAATGGATGACTGTCTTGAGTCACAAAAGGCCAAGTGGAGTTAATAGTATTCAACTGAACCCACCCTGGTGGAACTAGTACAACACCTTCCTATGGAACACACAGTACAGTAAGCATATTTTAGCCTGTACAGTAACTAACTATCAGTTTGACTGAGTGGAGTATCAGTTGTATACAGACTTATATAACAGTGTTACACTTTGAAATATATATGATAAAATGTAGTGTACCTCTTGAAACTTTTCTCTAACCAGCCTGCAAAACTCAAATAATTTTATTGTTCCATGCTGTCCTAGGAGATGCTATAGGAATTACTGTTTTTCTGTCCATGTGTGTCTGTGTGTGAAAGTATCCAGGAGCTGTAAAATAATAAGCTGAACTTATAATAAAAGATTTTAAACAAATTCATTTTGTGGATATCACACAACAAGACTTCAGAATACAGTAGACTGATAGTCAAAACTTTATATTATTACTTGTCAAGGTTATAAACCAATAGACTTTGCTGCAGTGCATGGTGAGTTTGCCAATCTTTAGCAGAAACTTTACTTTAATTAAGAGAGAGTGCAAATGGTCATGCAAATCACTGAACCCAAAACTTAAGCAGTCTGTGATGAATAAATTTATGACAGTTTTCACAAAGCCGATCTAAAATATCTCCTGCTAAGTTTGTGGAGATCCTCAGAGGTTTCCCAAAAAGTATTTATCATCCAAAGAGAAGGTTTAAAACTTCCTAAAGCTTTAACAAATAAGATGCCAACAAACATCCAACAGATCAATAGACATAGACAACATTCACAATTTAAGGCTCAAACAGCTGAATCACAGTCAGGTGAAACCATTTCAGGTCAAGAATTACTTTGTGAACATGAAAAAGATGCCAAGATACAAAATAATTAATTCTGAACCCTGAATGACCTCTTTATCCAGCATTTTAAGAGAAAACTCCAATAAAATCTATTCCATTTGAAATGAAACCCTATGGGCACGCAATCCTCATTTTCCACTTAAGACCTTTCTTAACACACCTTAAAAACCCTGGGACCATTTTCTCACATTTTGTGAAACAGAGAAAGTCTACCCCTAATGAGTGCACCCAACGTAAGTTCCATATACTCCTTATGTGGCTGTGGTTCCTCCCACACCTTTACCAACATAACAAGCAGGATACAACCTAATTTTTTCATAGGATGAGGCATAACACAAAACCAAAAAGAAAGTAGAGTTAAAAGACAAGATTGTCTTGCCATGCTCTAGAAAATTCCAATCTAATTCCTTGCCCTAAGGTGAAGCAAACAAATGGGTTTGTCAAAGAACACACATAAAACTTATATTTCCTTACACATCACTGTGTTCACCAAAAACCCATTCAAAGTGGGCTTTCATTACCCCAATAAAACCAAAGTAATGTACAGGAACACTCTGGTTAACAAACATGTGGGTTATGACACCTTGATTTTGTAAACAAAATTTACTCTTATTATAATGTAAAGAAACATCAATGAAGCAGTGAAAAAGTTTTGTGAATCAGTACAGTTTATGGTAATTACATGCAGACTCCAATTTATGAGAGGATTACATTCCTGAAAAATCTCATAAATCAATGCACATTTTTCCACAGACTCCCATTACAGTGGAGTCACAATAATTCCTGAAATGCAAATTTACCTTCTTAAATTTGTGGGTACCTCTATTTACCACCTCTCCTTTTTAAATTTTGTGGTCAAATACTCCTAATTTATGGTTAAAAAAAGTTAACAAGAGCAATGTGATTTAATGGGATTACAGGGAATACTACTGCACTGTATATAGTTAAAGGAAATAAGAATATTTAAGTCAGAGTAAGGATACAACATCCATTAAGGATATTTCTTTAAGAGAACAAAAGATTCAGTAGTAGGCTGAGGTGATATAAAGTAATGGGTATTCTACAGCTGTCTGTTTTATTCATGAAAGAAGATAAACATTATTAAAGTACTAAACCAATGAAAATCATAAGATGAAAAAGAATTTATTAAAGATATTGTAACAAACTTTCTGTAATCAACATTCACAACAAAAAAATTAGATAAGAAAGAGACTGATGCTAAATATGAAATGTCATTCATACTTTTCTCAGTTAACTCACACAACAATAAGCAAACTATCCTACCATCTTTTGGATCTCGTAAAAGTCTCTCTGCTCGTGGTGGTCTGTAGTCATCCATTCTCATCCTCATGGAGGCAATCGGCTGTTTGTTTCCACCAGACATGGGTGGTCCTCCAGCACCACCCCCACCCCCACCTCCACCTCCACCTCCTCCACCACCACCACCACCACCACCTCCACCCCCGCCCCTTCCTGCCCGTCGCCGACGGTTGCGAGCTTTCCGTCTGCGGCCGCCCCCGCCACCACCTGCGACGCCATTGCCACCGGGGACAGTGACTGGCCGGGGTGGTGGGCTTCGAGGACCACGTCTAGAAGTCCCCCGGTCTGCACTACGTCTCTGTGGGAAACATCTTTGATTAAAACCAACAAGAAGAAAATCAAAGTTTTATTGCTTAACTTAGACAAATTTTCAAATATAAATACTGTACAGTTCTGAATACTGTACTTCATACACTAAAAAGGGCACCTAATTGTATACCTAACAATAATAAGGTTAAGAAATATGAACATCAGGGCTTCAAATAAATTTTTACAAATAAAACCTATCAACAAACTACAATGTGCTAATACATCTTTAACAAACTGACATGTTCACTTCGATATCACTAAATTTACCACAGAGGTCTTAGTTTACATGAAGATAGTTCCATTAAGAAAAAATAAATAAATAAAAAAAAGAAAAACTGTAATAAGCAAAATATTATTCTTTTTTTAATCAGAATATGACCAAAAATGGAAAAGATTAAGACAAACAAAATGACCAGGAAAGCAAAAACATTTTGTAATTTAATTTTGCAAATTATATGACATGGCTTCAAGGAGTTTCTTACATATGAATAGTAATCTAAAGGGCACTCACAAAATTAACAAAAGAAATTACTTCAAAGAGAAAATTGTTAATCACCTCTTTGTTTCCTCCATACTCACCAAACCAAATCACTGAGTATATAGAGCACAAAGTAATTAATGCCATGTTACTGTGTGCTCAGCAACTGTGCTTGGCTAGAGAGCCAATCCCTTGGGCAGAATATGTGGACCACACCACCACTATCTGCAAGGCCTCCCAAGGGTGGCACTTGAGTCCAGAAGCTGTGGCAAGCTCTGGTTACTGTGTGCCAGCAATAAGCCAGGGAGGTGTGCTGTCCTTTTCCACCATACTCCAATGTCAGCAGAGCTCTGCCAAGTTGGCATCCCCACTTCTTCTTGTAGTAGATCTACCTCCGTCATGATTTTGGTTAATACTATGGCCAAGACTGCCACAAGTCCTTTCATACGAGCCTGCATACTGTTAACTGTAAATCATTGACAGTCTTGATGGGCCAATATTTGGGTGCTATGACCAGAGTATCACAAGAGAATGTCACATCACATGAATGTAATCTTTCTTTAGGTTACACAAAATATTTGTCATTTTCTACAATCATCCTCTCAACTAGTCTTATACTGTTTTTAAGTGCCGTATTCAAAATAATATGCTGGTATTTTGTTCTTAAATGCATACTTTCTAATAATATAAGGGTTTGATCTAGAAAGGCCAGTGAGGGGTGGCTTATGAACACATGCTCCAAAATTTGAATGGTTTTCCCGGTAGCTAACCCTAAAGTAATGTGTGACTGGAGGCAAAAAGGTCACTCAACTTCCATGGCAATCATTACACAAAGATTAAGAGATTAGAGGTCATAGCATATCTTTAGATATTGTAGAAAACAAGTCATGACTCCATGCAGCTCATTCTCTCCACTGCTGTTCATTTGAGTGCTGTAACCCGTATTTGTAGTAACAACCCCAGAAACTAACCAACCTTCAAGAATATCCAAGACAGACACGAGGTCTCCGTGACAGTCTTCACTGTCACTGTTATGAAGTGGGTTTTCAGGATCAAACCTTCATTTATAACTGAACACCAGTTAAGAATAGTCCATGAAGCAGTAGCCAGCTAATGAAATGAAGGTGATGTGAAGAAGATTTAAGTGCCATGCAGCAAGTAACCCAACAGGGAGTTTGCTTTCCATAAAAGAGAAAGTCACTCAAATTTACTAACTTCATCTTGTCTTCACATATTTCTAATGATATACTGAGTTTCAAAACCAATATCTCCTTCTCAAAAGGATACCTTTTTGAATGAATTCTAGAAAATTCAAAATAAAGCTCCTCCCCGACTTACGGCGGGGTTAGGGACCCAAATCCAGGTGGTAAGTCGAAAATGCTTAAATAATACATAGAAAATCTAAAATGGGTCTCTTTTTCTTCTCAGCACCACAAAACTCTCACTTTTAAGCTTGCCAGCCATTTTAAAGTGAATTACAAACGAAAATTTTGTCAGTACACAGCGCAATCACCGACGTTGGGACTCGAAAATACGTAATTTGACAAAATTTTGGTAAGACTGAGGCGGCCGTATGTCCGGGTGGTCGTAAATCGAGTCGATCGTAAGTCGGGGAGGAGCTGTACCAACTGATATGGACCATATCAACCAAGAAAATTAGGGCACTCCACATTTAGGCCCAAGAGCAAACTTAACTAACTTACCCCCTTAAATTAGGGATAAGAAACCAGCGTATGGTACTGTATCTAGTACCATATATCAAAATGTATAACATGAAAATTAAGGATAAGAACATGGCATCACAGAAGAAAGAAAAATGTGATAATTTACAATACACACAAAGCTATTGCAGGAGAGGAAATCAAACCATTCTTGCCCAGAGGGAAGCCACTAGTGCAGTGATTGCATTCAGGAAACATGAAGAAACTCAATCAGATACCAATTAATTCAATCAATGTAAAAAGTTTCAACACCCACTGAATCTTCCTGTAGCATAGATGATACAGACTGGATGATGGAAGTTGTCTACCAACACAAATATAAACTTGTGTGGATTAACTCCCAAGTAAATATCCAAGATAAAGAATCCTAATCCACCATCCATTCAGACAGCTTAATTCTACTATAGTGTGTCTAACCTAACACTGAGCATCCAAGCAATATGTACTGCCTTAAAAGAGCAGGAAATTTTTCATTTAAAAACAAGCACTGCCTTCAAAATTACTGTGGGAAGACCACAAGAAACCTTGCTTTTTGATACACACCATTGAAGACATGTTGTCATAGCTACCCAGTGGTTAAAGTTAGCACCAGGTTCGGCTTTCCATTAAAAAGGACGTAATAGGAACATGCCAGTAAGCCTCCTTCCGACAAATAAGGGTTGACCAGAGATATTACAATAGTCCGGAGACCCATAGAGTCTAAGCTCAGATTCCTTTAAAAGAAATGGCAATCAGGTGCCTATTCAGATACTCCCAGTCACCACATCTGACCCCTCTCCCCACTCCCTTTGAAGGCTTAGAAACTAAGATGGCTCCCAATTTAATGTTTTCACTTGATCTAGCTATAAGAGCAGACTGAGGAGTAAAACAGGTCCCCTACCATCCAAAGAAAACCAAATGTACTGTATTAGTACAAAAGCATTTTGTGTTCCCCTAAGTTCACTGACACAGTATCAAACTGTATATCTAAATATTGATTGGCAAGGAAACATTCTCTGGTAAAATTTAGAAGTGCATATATATTTTTTTCTTCTTCACAATGAAATTCCAAAATATATTAAAGAAATAACATTAGACAACTTGCTACAACCTCTGAACTCTTGACCTAGACCTATGGTCAGTCTTCTGATTCAGCCTGGACTCAGGAATCCCCCACACCTGCAGACAACTAAAAATAACACAGATATGAACCTAACTGACTAAATGTGAAGCAACCCAGAGTATTAAGTCAAACTAAAACTGGACTTATCTGAATTGAAGATCGCCCTAATGATAGCTGGCACATCACAAGTCAAGTAATACTGTATAGCAGCTAACAACAATCACAGCAATATTAGACTGCAAGTGTATGAAGCCAAACTTGTTACATATCAGTGAGAACAAGGTTACTAACATGTACAAAAACCTGTACCTACCCTCCTAGGGTGCTATCTGGAAAGAACCTTGGAGCTGCTCTAATGTGTGGAATAAGATTGCTCATTGGTGGAGGGGGAAACTGGTAACTCCTAAAAACAACTTAACACAATACACCACTTATCAGAACCCCCTGAAAGGTTCATCGACGTTGATTGTTAAAGTACAGTACAGTATTTAAAAGCACATAGTAATTCCAAGGAATAATTATGTACATGATGTAAAGTACTACAAGTATCTTCATAAAAAAAGGCCATAAATTTATTAAACCACTATACTGTACAATCAGAGATGTAGGAACAACATTTACTGGCAATAAACATCTTAGAAGCTTCAGCCAGACTCCTGATCCACCAGGAAGCCTCCACTGAATATAATAGACTGCACTACAGCCATCTGGAGAGGATAACCAATGCAACTGGTAATATGGCTCTCTCTGGTCACCACACAAGTACAGTACTGCATGGAAATACTCATGAAACTAAATAAGAGAAGGAAAACATCCTCTCTTACTGCATACATGGCCAGTGACTACTTGAATCACCCCCAACGTAAATGCCAAGGAGCATGCAATAAGGTTATTCCTAGACAAGGAATTAGAAAGACATATCTCTCATCAGGGAGATTGGCAACTGAAGTGAAAAGGGTTGTTGCCTGTGAAATTAGCCTATGACAATGACATTGTCAAATGTGGAGTGATCAACACTGCAGTTAAAGAGAATGGAGTGTAAAACAACAGGGATCATTAGTTCCCATTTCTTACGGGATGAACTGTGACCTCTAATCCCACACATCCGAACAATGGTTGTCACTGGGGAGATGATTGAACTTTAGAATACCTTCAGACACACACTGCCAAGGAATTTAAGTGAGAAATCCCACACGCTTTGGTGTACATATCCATGGGTTACTCTGATGTAGTGTCAAGTTACGATTTTTTCTTTTATAAAATAACAAGCTAGCTATCTAGTCACATTATTAGACAGTATGTCTCATTTAAGCCAAATATCCTTTTTACTAAAGTCAGGTTGTTTACAGTTCACTTAAAATGTGTATATGTATATACAAGCACAGTATTATCTCCTACAGTATATACATTCACCACTTTCTCACGAGCACATTCCCTTTTGTCTATCCTAACGGCAACTTTAGTCTGATGCCCTTAAGCAC